CCTACTGGGAAACACATGGGAGGCTTGGAAATGCAATCCCAGTGCAGCCCTTACTGGCCATGAGTGCAGATCAGAGGGGAACACTCAGCTGCCATCACTTGTGCAGATGGTGTTTCTCCCAAGAGTCCCCCAAAAACCTTCATTGAGGTCAACTGAAATAGTTTTGGGTTTGGTTTTTTTTTTCATTTTTAAGTCAGTCCAGCCAACCAACAAACACTTCAACTACCTACTGCAACTTTCTTTGGCAAAGCTGCATAGTCCTCAGGCAGGCACCCTACAGGTATCCCACTGCTGTGCTCTCTAGCTTGGCCAGTTTTGAATCCCAATATTAGTAAGATTTGCCAGACACTACCTGCTTTTGTTGGCTACTACCCTCTTCCCTGGGGGACTCTTCTCTTTGCTTCGAATCTGGCAGAACAAGTCTTGCTTGTAGATTTATATGGAGGTACATCAAGTTCTCCTTCCAGTATACAAGACTGCATAATCAATTCCTCATGAAGGTCTGTGAAAAAAACTCTATTCTCAGACAGTCTTTTCCATGGAAGGGTTTTTAAATGGTTTCCAAGTTGCTAATATTAAAAAAAAAAAAAGCATGCAAATAATGACATGTTAACAGCTCTGGCAATATATGGTCTGTTCCCAAAGCCACAGCTCACGGGGGTTAACACACAAACCCCAGTGTGCTCCCAAGCCTCCTGTCTGCAAAACCAGAACATTTCAACAGTCCCAGAAACAGGTTGAACAAACCTTTACCAAGAATACACAGGTATCAACTGAGCTGAGCTCACCTTCGAATGAGAGAAATTTGCTGGAAGAGGTCTCTGGTGCCTAATCCAGGACTATTTCCTCCAATTCTGTTTAAGTCAGTGTTTCCAAGAGTTAAACCCCCCCTGGTTTTAGCCAAACTCTCCTTTTATTTAAGGCATAAAGGGAACAATATTTATCATTCAAAGGAACCAGTTCTATTTCACCCCTGCTCCTATTTTTGTCTTCTGCCCCTAGACAGGAGCGTCCCTTCCCTGTGCTAATTAATAGAGGGATAAAGGCACACCTTGGGGTTGAGAGTTTCATAGAAAAGTTAATTACAGATCCTGGCTTTATAATTACCAGTCGAGACGCTCACATTATCTGCCACAGGATCCCCCCAGGCTTTACCTGGCTAGAAAGAAGCAAGGGATGACTTTGAAGGCTGGAGTGAAAGCTGATCTTTACAGAAAGTGTAAGGCATAGAAAGGGCCACCAAAAACCTCCATAACAATAGCATTAGGGGTGACAACAACGGGTCAGAAAGAGACAGAAACACTAATGGGTCACAGACATCATCATGTACTTGCCAAAATTGAAGAGAATGGAGATTGAGACCATAAGAAGATAATTGAACCTGCTGCACTGACAACATGACGTGGAGCTGGGTAGCTGTAAGTCTGTTAAACAGGCTAACTGGAAGGAGATGCAAGATCAGGGCAGAGGGAAAGCTCTGCTCAGACAAGGCAGCTGAAAATGTCAATGTGCAAACTGTGCTACCTGCTCCCAGCTCAGCCCTTGGACCCAGCAACAGAGTGGCTTAAAATGATCAAGACCACTTGTGTACTTCCATCTCCGACCTGCAAACGCTTACATACACACTCTGGTATTTGCTGAGTTGGTGCCTCAAGCTCCCCATTCCATAAATCCTCTTCCCTTTCAGGCTCAAGTGATGGAAAACGCTCTCTGAGCGCACAAAATACTCGCTGAATTCAGAGGGGAACTGCAGTGAGATAATATGGCAGAAAGTCACTGTCTGGAGAATACAAAGGGCTCCTCATTTATAAACCAAACTTTTCATAACCAGAAGATCTGGACAGAAACATCACACTGGCACCCGGGGTTGCATGGACTGGCCTGCCTGGGTTTGACCAGCACCCTGGGAGCTCACACTGCCAGTTTCTGCAGCCTGGGACATCCTTGTGCTGTGTCTTTGCACAGACCATGACTCCTCTGGGGCCCTTTCTATAGGCAATTTTGGGCACACACATCACTTAGAATGCAGTTTAAAGCCAACACCTTACCAATACAGGTTTACACAGCAGGACAAACACCACAGTTCACAGCCTGGTCCTAATCCTCTTCCGTTCCCAAGGTGCTCAGAGCAGCCAGGAGCACAGATCCCAGTTTAAAGAGGAACCATTCATTCCTTAAGGATGTGTTGGTCCATTGTAGAAGTTGTATTTCTCAATGTATTCAAGGCTTTTCCAGCCAATTCCATAAATCAACTTGTTGGAAAAATTGCCCAGAAAAAGAAAAAAGGCAATTAAATGTCGTGTGAGCAACGCAGCCACACAAGCAGGAATTCCTCACCTCGTGCACTCCCAAGGCATTTTTACAGTCCTTGCCATAGAGGCACTCCTTTGCTCCTTGAAAATTGTCTTTAAAAATACCCCGCGAGATTGAAAAAAACTTCCCGAGTGACTGTCACGGGGAAACAAAGCAAGAAAAGGAGAGGGAACGGTGAGTTGTGGGCCACCGTTGGTGGGCACTTGAATGGGAGCCCTGTGCTTGACACCAGTGCCACTCGGAACAAAACCGGAGCCCGGAGCCATTTGTCAAGGGGCACAAACGCACACAAGTGGTGAGAACCTGGCCCTGCTGTAAGAACGTGTCAGGGACCTTTCTGTGGGGCTGTGCCGAGCCCCTGATGGATCGCTGGGCTGGGAGGGCAGCATTGTCAGCAGCAATAATGAGACATCTGGCCCGTTCTCTCTCTGAAAGAGTATTTTGGCTCGGCTGAGACCACATGAGCAGCTCCTTGGACAATGCACAGACTCAGGGTCTCGCTGCCACCGACCCACAGTGCCGGGTCCGTCCTGCCCCGGATCCAGCACCATCCCTCCAAATCCCAGCCCCACCAGCAGCCGGGGGGCCTTTGCCCCTCTCAGGACTGACACCATCACTCTCCACAGCCTCCGGCACCCCGTGGATCCCCCCTCAGAGGTCTCCATGCTCAGGACACCACACCCCAGCTGACACACACACAGGCTCACACAGCACAACCTCTCTGCCTTAAATCTGCCCTCTGGGCACAGGACCATGGAATGGTTTGGGTTGGAAGAGACCTTAAAGCTCAGTTCATTCCACCCCCCTGCCATGGGCAGGGACACCTCCCATGAGACCAGGTTGCTCCAACCTGGCCTTGGACACTTCCTGGGACGGGGCAGCCACAGCTTCTCTGGGCAACCTGAGCCAGGGCCTCACCACCTTCAGCATAAAATATTCCTCCCAATATCCCATCCAACCCTTCCCTCTGGCGTTTTGAATCCATCCCCCTTGTCCTGTCACTCCATCCGGAGAAGGCCCCTCATCATCCCCCAGCCAGAGAGGGAAGGATATGCAGCAGGATGTGAGGATTTTATCAAACTCCCCATCCACAGGTAAACCAGCAGCTCCTGGGAACCCATCCACTCTCCTTCCTGTGCACAGGCAGGACCCAAGGCAGCTGCTCACAGGCACAGCCTCGGGGAAGCAGGCATAAATTATAAAGCCTGATGTGTGTAAAAACTGGAGAGTTTCTATAGAGAATTTCAGTTCTGAGCACTTTTTATCCCCCAAAAATGGAAAGTATAGGGATTTAATACACTAGACAACCCTTCAGCAGCCCTCCCCTGACACCCTACACCCTCCAAGTGATGAGGGGAGCTGAGAGCTCTCTGAGAACGGACTTGGGACATAAAGAAAATACGGGAAATAGAAGCAAAGAAAAGAAAAGCAAAGCAGAGGAAGCAAGAAGAAGGATGTCTGTGTGCTTCAAATACCTCAAAACAGAGGCCCCACTTTGCAAATAGTGTTTCACTGGGGGAGGAAGGGGGAAGGCTGGTTTTCATTTCATTTTCACTTTGAAAACACCATTTTTCCACACATCCACTGAAGTGCAAATTTCCTCCGAAACCATTTAAACAGAGAGCACGTCTCAAAGCTGGGGTTTTCTAAAACACATCTGTTTGAATTTATAGCGCCGTGGTTGAGAGAGCCCCCAGCAGCCCCTCGCCGAAGGAGCCACGAGCAGCATTTCCCAGCACAGCCCCCAAAAACACCCCAGCACCCACCTAGGCACAGCAAGGGAGGCACCAGCACCAGTGGCAGGGAGAGCACAACCCACCAGCTCAGAAGGGGGTGACACAGAGACCGATTTCTCCAGCTCCAGCCTTGGCATGGCCCGTGCCAGCTGGGAAGAGAGATAAGGAGCGGCTGCTGGGGTGTGGGGGTGATAAATGGGGTGCTCACACAGCCCCCAGCTCTGACCACCAACACCTCTGCAGCTGCCGGCGCATCCGGAGAGCCCATCTCTCCATCCTGCTGGGAGCAGTGCAGGCAGCCCCAGGCAGGATGTGGGGATAATATGAAGGGAAGAGGGATATCACCCATTGCTGCACCTTCCCAGCTCCTCCTTCCGTGCGCTCCCCACAGGCCCTGGCTCAGCACCCGGCTCAGGCAGATGGTTTGTACAAACAGCTCACGCAGGGGGGAGGTCTGGAAGCCTCTCCAAATTCCCTGCTGGCACAGCAGCAGCCTCCCCCTTCCCAGCTGGCAGTTGGCACGGACAGCACTGCACGCCCCGAGCCCTGTTCCTGCAGCTGGAAGGGCCCCGGTCCCCAGGCTGGCAGCTGCAGCCGGTGGCAGGGATGCCCAGGGGAAGCAGGTGGCTCCTTCCCAAGGGCTGGGTGGGAATGCTGGCACCCAGGGCTGACAGGGCCTCTGCAGAGAGGTGACCCGCTGGCTGTGGGCCCAGTGACAGCGTCTGGTGCCCTGACAAAGGAGCTGTGCAGCCCCAGCAGCATCAGCTGTGGGGGCTCAGCTCTGGGGCACTCCATGAGGCTCCTCTGCCCACTGACAGCTGAAAGGAGGGACACAAAACACCTCTCCAAATCTGCTCCTGCAGAAGGAGATGTGCCAGGCACCAAGCTGCCTGCAACAGGACAAGGACATGCAGCCCCTCCCAATTCCCCCTGCCCCTCCACAGCTCACCTTCCAGGCTCACAGCATTCCCATCCTTGGCTGTGGAGACCTCCATCCCAGGGCCATTCCGACCTGTAAAACCAGGAGTTTGGGGTGAGACAGACACCAGGCCCCAGCTCAGTAGCACAGTTGCTGCTCCTTTCCTGGAAATTTTAAGGTCCACGGGTTTTGTGATGCCAAGGAGTTCTTTGGCACTCAGTTGAATGTATTTAATGCAGCCTGTGGAGCAAGCAGCCCATGGTTAATGCACCCAGAATGGCTCGTGACTGTCTACTGGGAAGACATGAAGAGGGCAGTAATTCATCCAAGTCCACTCTGCTGTGCACATTCCCACTGTTCCAAGGAAGAGGTCATGCCCTCTTTTTCCTTTTCACCAGTACCCTGTGCCTCTGGTCTCCCCCTCTGCCCTTTGCCAGGTGCCAAGAAGGGCCCACAAAGCCCTTTTACTTTATTTTTCTTTACCCCCCTCCAAAGCTCCCTGCAGCTGTTGCACAGCGAACTCAACATGCTGGGCTGAGCAACCTACGATTCCCTACTCCGTGCCCTTGAAACCAGATGGCAAGCCAAAGTTTTCTCTGACAAGCAAAGGAATCAGAACTGACATGACTGGAAAAAACAAGCTCAATTCCTCTTGGCAGGATATTAATTTAGAAATCTCTGGTGTCATCGCCCCAATTCACAATGAATTTGAGTCCAAGCTTTCCTAGTGCCAGACGACACAGAGATTTGACAGAGAAGGTAATTGGAGGAAATGGCTTTGTAATCCAGCTATTGTGCTGGCAAGATCCAGCTCTCCTCAAGAACAAGGTTCACTTCTTAGCATGGCTGATTCATCAGCATCTATTTGTCCCCAGTGCCTCTTGGTTTTCCTCTGCCCGGCAGGGATGGCATGGACCCTTCAGAGCAGTGCCACAGGTGTGCTGGGCATCCAGGCTTTCTGCAGCCTGGGAGGTGGCAGCAATGGAGTGGTGAGTCCTGCAGGGTGAACACTCCAAGTGTCCAAGGGGCATGGGAAAGAGCAGGATGGAGGGAGTCTCATGGTCCACGCACCCCTTGGGGAGCAAACACACCAAGCAGACGGAGCCAAGCATCACCCGTGGTGGGTGCCTGTGCCATGCCAGTGGCAGGAACAAGGATGGAAATGTTCACGTGGGAGCAATCCCACTCAGAGAGCCCCACGGCCTCCATCCACTCCACATAACTGGGTGGGTGGGTGGGAAAACCTGAATTGGGGCAGAGTTTGGAGCAAAGCTTGTAATCACATCCCCAGTGACGTGGCCAGGAGCACAGAGCCCACAGAAAAGATTACCATGGGGTTACCTGCCAGACAGGTCCTAAGCACTGCATCACAGGATCACAGAATGGCTTGGGGTGGAAGGGGCCTGAAAGACCTTCTTGTTCCACTCCCCTGCCATGGGCAGGAACACCTTCCACTAGACCAGGTTGCTCCAAGCCCCATCCATTCTTATCCTTCTCCGAAAAAGTCACTGCAGACAAAGGCTGCATCAGGCAGGGGGAAACCAGCATCAAAGGGCAAAAGAGTCTGCCCTGCTCCCACCAGGAAAAAAGGAAAAAGAAAAGGGGGGAAACAGGGTGCAGAGGTTCCAGAATGTGTTCTGAGAGCTGAGCAGCACTTGACTAGAAATGTTCATGAACGATTCTACGTACACAGGTCCCAGATCTCCATTTGCAGCACCTTCCCACTGCTTTAATAATAACCATTAATAATAACAATCATTTTACTGACCTGCATATTCCTGCCATTCCACTAATTACTCTGTTTTTCCAACTTGCTGGCTGGTGAGCTGCTCAGGATGGATGTTGGATCCACTCCCAAGCTGCGCCTCCGAGATCTGATCATTTGGTGGCTGGGGCAGTGTGAAACCCTACCCCTGCTCGCTCCATCAATCCCACCAGTGCCCTGACATCCCTTTGGGAACCCTGTTAAAATGAGCCCTTCAGAAGGCTCCTCTCCATTTAAATAACTTGGAGGATGGAGCATAGCTGCAGTCTAACATCCCCTGCTATCTGAATATATCCTTTAGCTCCATGACCTGATTCCCCGAGTGCACGCAGAGCCAGTGATTTTGTGGAGGAGGAGGAGGGGAAGAGCTCAGTTATTTTTCTTAATCTGCTAGCAAAAAAATATTAGGATAGTAAACAGCCAGCAATCACCCAGGAATGCCTGGGAGAGCTCTTACCTACCAGCATGCAGATCCCTCATCTGGAATTCATTTATTCACGTTCGCTATTGATGCTATTCAACTACACAGCTGGTTGGGAAGGACATAGTCAAAAGAGACCTGAAGTTATTGAAGAGGCCAGTCTTCACTGGCAATGTCACCTCTGGAAATAATGAATCCTGGAGGTCTCTCAACCTCCTGGAGATAAGAATGCACACAAAAAGGTGCCCCGTGGGTTTTATTCTGTATCCCATTTTGCTGATAATTCCCTCAGAAAGCTTTCCTAATGCTGAGGATCACCTGCATCTCATTCAATTACATCCAATAACTTAAACTGCTGGAGCAAACCCACTTCAGATAGAATCATTTTGAGGTCTGAAGAATTCCCACAGCCTGGTGAAAAACGTAGATCTAATTTGTATGTTCCCCTCAAGTGCTGTCTTACATATTTTGCCATGACCCATCTGTAGGTATGCACAGTCCTTCACTTTGCTTACTCTAAGAGTGGGTCCTACAGGGTCAGGAAAGCACAAGGGACGTTGCCTAAGCTCTAGTTTTGGGGGTGTAAGTGGAAAATCCAGGAGGAAAGCAGATGCCTCCAGGGAGCCCCTCCATCATGCCTTTCCCCAGGCAGCTCACACTCTGCACTACCCTGGGAAGGGACCACACAGACAGGTTGAAGGGGAAAAAAAAAGCACATGAAGATCATGGAAGTCTCAGGGCAAGTAAATTACTGTTAATTGTGAGATATTTGATTGCAAGAAGCTCCAGATGGCCAGCCATCTGTTTTTTATTATAAAATTAAACAAGATTAACCCAAACAGGATTTCCTCAGCATTCTTCTCTGACTGGCTCACAAATACATCTTTAACACCTATGCTACAGATACAGCACAATCAGAAGCTTTTCCTGCCTTTCCCTAATCTACTTGGGCTAAATACTCTGCTGAGTAATGCCCTTGCACGGAAAGATTTCCAGCAGGATTGAAAAGAAGCAGGGAATGGACTAATTAAGAGAGGAGAGAACTGGGAAATGTCAGTTCAAATAGAAGTAACCCCTCCCTTTTCCACTGCTGTGACCAAAGGCTGGTTAGAAGGGCACAGGCACCTGGGCAGGGGAGTTGCCAAGGGCAACAGGTTGCCAGAGGCGATGGCAGCAGGGATACCAACCTCTTCCCAGGATGGGAAGGGACAGAACAGCAGAACTGGGGAGAGTGGCCAGAGCCCCTGCCCTCTGTCTGTCTCCTCTGAAAGGCAGCAGTCAAAAACATCTCTCCCTACAGTGCCTCTGCAAGCCCAGGAATTTTCTTTGCCTTCTTACACCTATGCCAACAAGCTTCAGGCATTTCCTCCTTGCCCTGGCATCCTCTGCATCGCCAAAACACCCCCCCTGCCCCTGTCCCTGGAAGGGCAGCACTGCAGAAGCTGGGTTTTGCTTTGCATGATTAGTGACAACGATGCCTTCCACAAGCTTTGGCCATTCTTTGCTCCAAGGTACATAAATCCTGAGACCAAGCCCTGCAGAGAACAGCTCAGACAGATTTTGCTGAGCGGGGCTTGCAGGACCCGCTCATCCAGCGAGTTTTCTGCCCTCAGGTACTAAATCTGCTCTGGGAGTCAGTCAGCTGCCTCTGCTGCCCTCCCTGGAGGCTGGGCTGCCACCAAGGTGGCCTTCCCGAGCCCACCCAGCCACCCTCTGCCCACCCCGAGCCCGTCCCCCTGCGAGCCTTTCTCATGCAGATCACACATGTCTGCATTTGTTCGAAGCAAATCGGTTGTGAAATGAACATAAAGGGTGTTCCACGGGAGATGTCCCCCTGCATCAGCCCCCAGAGTAAATCCCCAGGACAGGATGCATCCAGAAACTATCCATAATACCTCACTCACACCCTCCTGTCTTATCATGTCTGGGCAGAAAACCTGTTGGGAGAGTTTAGTTGCCCATCAGCCAACAGACAAGTGCTGGGGCTCCAGCTCACGTAAACATGATTATTTTTTGCGTTTAACTTTGAATATCTTCAATTGCAGGGCTACCCTGGAGGGAAAAATGCCATGGGCTCCTTTTTGGGAGAGCAGCCAGCCAGCTCCCTGCACCCAGGCTGTCTCCATTCCTCCACTGCTGCTCCCAGAGGCTGGAAAACACAACAATTCCTCCTGAAGTCCAACATGAACCTCCCCTGGCACAGCCTGAGGCTTCCCTCTCCTCCTGTCCCTCGTTCCCTGGGAGCAGAGCCCGACCCCCCCCCGGCTCCCCCCTCCTGTCAGGGGGTTGCAGAGCCAGAAGGTCCCCCCTGAGCCTCCTTTGCTCCAGGCTGAGCCCCCCCAGCTCCCTCAGCCCCTCCTGCTGCTCCAGCCCCTTCCCAGCTCCGTTCCCTTCCCTGGACACGCTCCAGCCCCTCAGTGTCTCTTCCATGAGGGCGCAGAACCAGACCCAGCACTCCAGGATGATTTCAGGTGAGCCCCAGGCATACCCCAGTGGTTCATCCAGATCTTAACATATTCTAGAAACCCTATAACTTCCTCCATTTTGGGATATGGTCTGTCTCTAAAAAGAAAAAACAAACGGCCTTAAACACGATAAAAGCATGAACTACAAACTCATCACGCTTCCAGCCAGCTCAGCACTTCCTCCTGGAAGCCACCAAATGGAGATAAGGTTCCCCCAATGACAGGCCACTGATCTCTTTGTGGCCAAAGCCCTCAGGCTTGCAAAAATGCAAGGACAGCTCAGAGGAAGACACTGGAAAGGTAAAACATGGTCCATGTAGAGGCATATTCAGGGAATTAACTGAAAAGCTCTAACAGTTTCCCTTCTCTTCCCCTTGCCTTTTCCACAAGAGCCAGGCTTGCTTCAAGGTGGAAAAATGATTTGGCTTTCCACAGTTTTATTCTCAGAAGTGACTGTTCCACTCTGAGCTGGTACTACTCCAGAAGAACTTGGTCCAAGGCAGACACCTCAGCTGGAAAACTCCAACCCCCACAGGCAAAGGTGTGTGGGACTGAGAGGACATCCTGTCCTGTTCTCGGATGGAGCAGGGAACTACTAGATGAGTAATATGCCACACTACACACTCAAAAAGCACAGTTTCAACAGCTGCCTGGAAATGAGGGGAACAGATGCTCTGACAAGAGCCCTGCACAAAATGTTTCCTCTGCCAAGTAAGTAAAGGAAACCTATTTTTTGCTTTTAAAGGCAGACCCCTGGAAATGAGGTATAAAACTGACTTCAGAGCATTCCCACTACTTTCTTGTCTTTCCAGCAGAGCATCCTCTGGGCTGGGCTTTCAGTGACAGTCACTCCTCCCCAGCCAGCTGGGGAGACGCCCCAGGAGGTGGAAGCACACACGAGAAAACATAAAATAAAAGTAGTTAAAAAAAATTACAAGCTTTTTAATCAATGATTTATCCATGCCAGGTACTCCTCTATCTAACCAGATGCTTCCAAGTGTCTGGCACTGGAGTAAAACCCATAATTTTATCACATGATATATTAGTAACCTGTATTAGACTTGCAAAAACACAACTGGCTGCTGTTGGTGAGGGAATAAAAAGTCACTGGATTGGACTATAAAACAAATAGCCCTGGTGTTATCTTGGAGGGGTTTCTTAACCAGCTGGTTCAGTCTGTCAAACATGGATTGTAAGGGGACAGTGGGCAACTCTGGCTCTCAGGAGCTGCCTGGAGAATGTGTTTTCAGGGATGACAGACAAGAGAAGAGACCTTCACATCTTTGTAAGCAGCTGGGAAGCTCCCACCTGAGCAAGGATCACCTCCCAAGGGGCTTTCAGACAGAGGGGAGTAGGAACTGGCCTCCACCAGAACAAGGTTTGCTGCCAACAGCGGGCCCAGAACTCCTGCAACGTCTCACAGCATTTGATAGCACAGGGAGCACAGCACATGGCTTTTATCAGCTGGAAAAACCAGCACTGACACAACTGGGGAAAAACAGATATGTTTTTAGCCTGAAGAGTGGCTTGCCTGTTTTTCCCAAATCTATTGGATAATCTAACGAGAGATATTGCTTCCGACAAACCTCGGCGAGGCTGTGGGAATGCTGCAGGCAGCAGGACCACCAGAGAATAAGGGAGGGAGCTGTCCTGGAACACTTACCAGCTACAAAATGGCTTTTACAAAGCATCATCCCTTGTCATGTTCCTCAAGGGGCCCAGAGAAATGATCCTCGACAGGAAGGGACGTGGCAAAGCTGAGCAGAGAACTTGGTGCTGGCTGTTGGGATTTCAGGGGCCGGCTCGTGTGGAGCCGTGTCTGCAGCACCACAGATAGCACAGGGTCCTGTTCCTGGCTGCAAGGCAGAGATAAGGCTCCTGGAACTGGTGGAAACACAAGTTTCCCAGCTCCAGGTTTGCAGGAGGAGGTCAAGAAGACCCCAGGAGGCAGAGGAAGAGTACAGTCAAGCAAAACACCTCAGGTGAGTTTTATCTATCCTGATGAATACGGTGCTGGTTATCAAGCAGATGCTGCTGCTAAAAACAGCCTCTCAGTTCAACACGGGCTTCTCAGCTCTCCCAAATGCAAGCTCTCATCTTCAGCCCTTGCAAATGAACAACAAGAGCAACCAGAGAGGCTGCGCACTACGAAACAGCCCCCACACCACCTCAGCTGACTCAAAACCAGAACTGGATGTGTTTCTGGTTAAGATGGCATCTTAACTTACATCTTAGAGCAGCAAAGGGGGAAAAAACCCTCTTTACCTGTGAATCACAAGTCCTGGAAACAGTCAACAGCTTTGCTGTTCCCACATCAGTTGTCTCCATCCTTCTCCTCCGAGGCATGGGATGATGGGTTACCTCAGAGTCTTGTTTGTAATCATTCTCCCTCAGTGTCTTCCTCTAATGCACAACTTTGGCTGTCAATGGAAGGGGGAAGGTGGTTAAATCAGCTTCAGGTGACTCCCTGCAGGAAGGTCTGTGTAACACAAACCCAGCCACTTGCAGTTCCTTTGGAGTTCCCTTTTCCATCACCCTGCAAGCTGAGACACTTTTAGCTCCTAAGCACAGTGGATGTAATCAAATGCCTTGGAAAGTGGGAAGGGTTGATCACTTACCCCAGGAAAGGAGCAGGGATTTGTGAGATCCCAGATAATAGTTCTGGTGCTGTATGTTACCACATTATACACCCCCAGCTTAATATTAATATAAATATACCATATACCATATACATATATATAGTACAAACAGCATAGAGACAGGACAAGCCCTGAGAGAGCTCATGGACCCCTTGAAGGTCCCACAGTCTGACCTTACAAGTCAGAATTAGTGACACCCTACTGGCTCCAGCCAGGCCAAAATTTCTTGCCCTGGGTATCAGCCACGGGCACAGGAGTGGGCAGGATGGGGACAACAAGCTGCTGATGCATGGGATGTCCCATCATTTTCAGGAGCCACAGTTGAGCTGGAATAACACTCCCCACGTGGAAGCAGATGCAAAGATGCATCACCAAAGAGAAGGACCTGCTAAACCTGACTCCTCATCCTAAGCATTTGCTTCCTTTCACAGTGTGTGTGACAACAACTCATCTTTGGGCCGACACCATCTCCAAAGGGGCCTTTGCCTGCGGAGACTTTCCTTGGAGCAAATGGGAAGCAGCCTCCCCTTCCACAGACACCTCCCAGGCCCAACACACCACAGGCAACAAACTGCTGGTCCCACAGAGCAGAGGGGAGTCAAGAAACCTCGTATGAAGAAGTCCAGGCTGAGAGGTGTCTGGGACCTTGTCACTGCCACGAGGTAAAGAGGTTGTCAACAAGATCTACGGCAAACCTTGGGGAGAAGGCCACGTGTACAGAAGCACTCACCCACCACGTGAGTAAATCCCATTTAATTCCACCAAACTGCCTGGACCAGACTTTCCAGACACATAAATGAATATAGCACACTGATGCCAACAGACACTGGAAATTTTACACCTGGAGACATTCTCAACCCTTATACAAGCAGCACCTGGGCCTGAATACAGCTTGAAAAATTTCCAGCTCTACAAAAGCAAATCTACCTAAATAAAGCATGAGACTACTGCAAGCCTATGATTTTAGAGTCATTGTGGAGCTGAACCTGTCTCACAGTCTGGTTTTTGTCCTTTATTAATCATTTTCATGGGCCTTTGCACTTTTGAATTCCAGCCTGACTGGAAGCAGCAAATGCTGGAAACCTCAGAAAGTTTTTCAAAGTGTGAAACCCCCACTGCCTGGAGAAGGTTTAATGCACTTCAAGTTTGCATTCAGACATTCAGGGGCTGAGCCAAGTAGTCACCCGTCTCAGACACTCAGGATGTTCACCTGTCTGAGAGTTTTCAACCTGAAATCCAGGCTTTCATCTTGAAGTAACTTTTGCAGAAGCAGGACCAAGAGATCACCAGTTGCAAAGGAGTGATGGGGCTGAGATGGTGCCCAGAGAACAGCTCGTGATAGCAAACTATCAGGGCTGCTGATGCTTTTTTCACTGAACACCCACTTCTCATCCTTTCCCAGGGATCTCCTAGGCTCCAACACCCTCATCCCATAATCAGATTGAGCAAAGAATGCCTGGCATTCACTCTGCAGACAGACACAACTCAGGCAAGGTTTAGAAAGCCCCAAGTACTGCCAAACTCAAAGGTGGGTGAGCAAAGCTGCCTCTCAGCCAGGAGAGTCGGAGCGTGCACAGGGAAGAGCCTCCCTCCCTCCCTCCCTCCCTCCGCTATTTTATTCTCCTGGCATACAATGAGGACTATTCTCTCCTGGAAAGAGGAATCCAAAACACTCCAGCATTTCATTGATGGGCTGCAGAGGGAAGGTATGGATTCTCCTCAGCCAGCCAGCTTCCCATGGAAGCAGCCGTGGAGAACTGGTGGAGCTGAACCAAGAGGAAGCGGCGCCGGTGGCTCTCTGGAGCTTTCAGAGCCGGTGTTTCCGACTCACTGCCCCCCTCGCTCCTCCAAACCCCTCAACCAAAAACCCCGCATTCACTGGCCAGACAGGACAGGAAAGGAGAGAAAAACCCTCTCCCCATCACCATCCTCTTTGTAAAACCACCACCCACCAAAGCAATGGCACAGCCTTGAAAGCGAAGCCAGGCCCTGCAAGGAGCTGGCTGGGTTAGAGACAAGAGCTCTGACGTAGTCAAGGGCTCAGCATCTCCCACACAGAGCAGGATTCCCATGTCTTTCATCCTGCTTTGGTTTTAGAGTGAGGCCACAAGGAAAAAGAGAGCCAGGAGACAGTGGGGCTCACAAGCTGCTCCATGAAAACACATCCTGCATTTAGCTGGTGTGGTCTCAGGTATTTTACCAGCCCTTGGTGAAAGGAAGCAAAAATTATTAAAATGCTCTCCATAGGAAGTTCATGGGGCTGTCATGGGTAATCCTGAGCTGAACAGTCATTACCCAGGACAGCAAGGGACAACAAGGTTGCAATGGGATGCCTGGAGGAAGGGAGAAACCTTTCCTTCCCTCTCACCCCTGGTTACTGGTGACCAGGGATATGACCCAAGGGAATGCCATGAAGCTGAGTCAGGAGGGTTAGGCTGGATATCAGGGAAAAGTTCTTGCCCAGAGGGTGGTTGGGCACTGACCAGGCTCCCCAGGGCAGTGGGCACAGCACCAAAGCTGACAGAGCTCAAGGAACGTTTGGACAGTGCTCGCGGGGACAGGGTGGGATTGTTGGGGTGTCCTTGGCAGGGCCAGCACTTGGACTCAATGACTCTTGTGGGTCCCTTCCAGCTCAGGAGATTCTATGGTTCACAGCATATGAATCTATGGTAACAACACCCCACAGACCTAAACCAAAGCAGCCTGTTTGAGGACATCCCAGAGGATGCCTTAGTGCAGTCTGAGACCCCTCATCAACCCGTGGCAAGCGCTGGGACCAGCAGGGCTCTCCCATCTCAAAGCCCACCTTTATCCAGCTTCAGCAGGGCTGGGAGGTGAGGCACAGCCCAGCTCAGTGGTTTCACTCTCCAGGGACTCCCACGACCCAAGCCCTGAACAACGAGGACGTTCCAGATGTCATGTGCCCGTCGGACTAAAACCCGCGGCATCACCCGACGGACACGGAGCTGATGGGAACAGATCTCGGAGAGCTGGTGGGGATGGGAGCTGTGACCCCGAGCTGCACATAGACCCACCCTGACCATGACTTGGGCTCATTGTTCATCCCGATTCCCCGCTGCAGGAGACGCAAATGTGCCTGTAGGTGGCCCAGAAACACTGGCTTATTAAAAAGAAAAAGGGAGGGGAAAAAAACCCCCAGAATGAATGCAGCGTCTGTCACCCTTTTGCAGAATTGTTATTTTTTTTGTCTGTAGTTGGTGCTTGTTTTCCAAAGATTTACATTTTTATGTGTGTGTCATTCGCTTTTCATGCATTTGGAGACCTCAGAGCTTAGAAATTCAAAACACTTGTCAGTCACGTCAATCCTTTTGGACAAAACAGAGCTGCCACTTGGATGGGTAAAAAAAAAACCACAACAAAACAACAAACAAACTGCACTTTTCTCTCAAGCTGTGACTCGGTCACCCTGCTCAATGCAAGCAAGACAATGTTTAGAGAAAGCAAAAAGAAAGATCTGAGTTTTCATACTCATCGGTGGAACTAAATTGATTAAGGTCATTTCCTAGGTAGGTTTGAAATCTTCTGCAACAATTTTTTTTTTTTTAAAGAAAAAGAAAAGTGTCCCCTCCAAAAAAGGGAAAAGTCACTACTGCAAAAACATTAAATCTGCTTGGGTAACTCAGAATATATGTTGGCAAGGCAACATATCTCAGCTTGAACAGTAAACCTGCTATGTCAGAGGCTCTGCCTCATATGAAAGAGACTTGGGTTTCAATATATCATGCTGAATTTACTTCTTTTCAGCCTTTCATGGCAAAGTATTTGATGTCTCTCCTTTCACTGTTGCAATCGATAGGGTGACCTTATGTAAAAGTTTCCTGACCTTTGCTGTTGTAGGTATTGTTCTGTTAAAATGTAATTTAACTCTTTTTCTTTAGTCTGGAAATAGCACTGTACAGAGAGCAAACATGAGAGGGGGCTGGGATTTTTCCCCTGTTAACCTAAAGGCAAGAGGCAACATCCATCATCAGAGTTGGCTTCAAACCAGCTGATGTCAAGCAGCATCATCTGCTGAGTCTGGTTGGTTTCCCAGTGCTTCCCTGTAAAGATATCGACCTGCTGGTAAGGTAAATAACTCAAAAAGCCTTACTCTGATGCTCACTCCAGTGCCATCCTGCTCAAGATTTTAGGACTGAGTGGCCTCCCTGGGCTCACATCACTGGGATGTTGGTATCTCTTTGGCCCTATGAAGTTTTCACAGTTCCAGGACAGAGAGCTTTAGCAAGGGCCTTGCACGTATTCCACATGATGCCAGAAAAACAAATAGATGGAGACTTACATGAAAAAAATTAATTGTTTTCAAACAGCAACTACCAAAGTGGAAGAAGATGGGTTTTGCTCATGACAGTGGGTGCTACAAAGTCAGCCACATGTTTTGGAATTACAGCTGGATTATCCACCCCAGGATCTTTGTGAGCCTGGTTTGAATCACATTATAACCCTTTAATGCAAGTACTTCTGTGAAAGCAAACTCACACTGTTGCTGTCTGTTGTGCTGCTGTTATTCCATCCCTCATTTGGGCTGTGTGTGGGTATTACACCGCATTAGTGATGCAGATGTGCACGTCGCCACTCACACCCAGACATTTGCACAGGATTATGGCTAAAATTCCTGATCCTACTTATAAAAAGCCCCATAAATCCAGATAGCTCCTTTTAAATCAGCAGCATTATCCCACTGTAAATCCGGGGTGTAAGTCAGAGCAGGCTCTGGCTCGGATGCTCTTCAGCCACACACCACAATGGAGCAGGGAGGCTGAAGCAAACCCTGGGCCTCGTACACATCAGTTCCTCCCCAAACACATCCCCATCGCATCATGCCCTGCTCAGCCCACACCCCATCACTTTTAGAGTACCAGCTCAACTCTCCTCATCCAGAAACTCTCTGAAACAGAATAAAGAGCCGGCTTTGGCAGCGCCGCCGCCCCCACGTGCTTCAATATTGCTCACAGCTGAGTTATTTCGTGCTTCTTAGGAACTTTAACTGGCTTTTATGCTCAGTGAACTCATGAAAGGCAAGTATCTAAAGTCAGCAGCACTGAAACGATGAATTAGCACAAGGAGAAAGAGGGCAGCTGGGCGTTCCTCACAGTACATTACCTAGATGGTTGCCAGAGGAGCTGATTTAAAGTCACTGTGCTACACCTGAATGTCGTTTATGGCTCATAAAAGGAAATCTGTGTTTAAGTAACAATAAAGCAGGACTGCACTTTCTATGTACGAGAAGAAATAAACCCTTTCTCGCAGAGCAGATAAATTTTTATTTGCTCAGTGCCTGGCTCAGGCTCGTGGAGATGCTTTCAGCCAGAAAGCCCAAGAGTTAAGCAGGAGGACTCGCTCCAACGTGGCTTATGTTTGATTTTTACTTATTTTCCACCCAAGCCTTAACAGTGAATTCGAGCTCCTGGCAAAGGCAAGACCTGAACCCCCACATACAACTGTAGCTGCCAGAGGAAGAAAGGAGATCCCCAGGCACAGGCAGCCACAAAGCCACAGCAGGAAAAGCGGGGACCCTTCGTAACACAGAATCATTGAGGTTGGAAAACACCTCCAAGGTCATCGAGTCCAACCTGTGCCCAATCCCCACCTTGTCACCCAGCCCAGAGCACCGAGTGCCACGTCCAGTCCTTCCTTGGACACCTCCAGGGATGGGGACTCCACCATCTCCCTGGGCAGCCCCTGCCAATGCTCAACCACCCTATCCATGAAGAAATTCTTCCTGAACACCCCAAGTTCCAGAGTTGGGACATTTGACCAAACAAGGTGACAGCTGCCATCACATCAGTCACATCTATCTGCAACCTCCCATTTTCACTCACCTGTTATCTGCTGACAAATTCCCTCATATCAGACTCCAAGGGGTCCATATTCACATTTTTGGTCTCAGTACAAACACCATCTGGGGTATTGTATCACACAAAGCCACGAGAAAAGCTTCCTAGAACACAGACATGTTTTTTCCTATTATACCTCTGCTACAGTTTGATTTTGGAGAATTTTTTGCATGAAAACAAAGTCCTAATGAGAAATATGCAACAGTGACAAACTCCATCCTTCTGTCCCCCTGCACTGTTCTGCACTCCACCCATCTCCCACCCTCTGCCCACCACCCCCCTTATCACAGAGCCATGGCCACCTCGGGGCCACCCACCACTGCTGATCCCTGCAGAGGACCTTGTTCCCCCTTGCACAGCCCAGTGCTGCTGGTGTGTGGGGGTGCTGCCTTCCAGCTCCCCTCGTCCTTCCAAGGGCCAAGGAGACAAGGTGGGTGCTCAGCCTCAGGTCTTTCCCTCTGAGGAGCTGGAAAGGACCCGTGTGTGCACGATACAGTTGTTGGTCAAGGTCCTGACCTTTACCTGCTCTCTGTCTGACCCTGCTTTTGCAAAAAGGCACTGTTCCACCATGATCCACCTCACCAAGAGGCCTGGAGACTTTATCAGTCTGGTCTCTGCAGCAGGTCTGCAGGATCTCCCCAACACTCAGCACCACCCATGGTATCTCCAGGGCTGACACTGTGCTGTGAATACCAAACTGCAGAGAGAAAAAAAATATCCATGAGCTTCTGCCAGTCCAAACCAGCTACAGCACCACGTGAAAACAACACACTGTCTGAGAGGAAACCTGATCTGAAACAGTTCTGCTGCTGCAAACCCAGCAACACCCCGTGGATGGATGGGAAGGGGGTGCCAGAGCTGTATCCAGCACCTTTGGAGAGGACACAGAGCGATGCTGAGGCATGGGAAACAATGCCCAGCTAAAGCAGGAAATTAATTTCTCAGCATAACCAATTTTATCTGTCAGCATGAGGGAGCACTTCCCTTGCAGTTCAGCAGTACCTCAAGAAGGGCTCACAGGAAGCTCAAAACATCCATTGCTTATAAGAAGCATCAGCACAGAAAGCTACATTGGCATTCTGTTGTCACAGCTATGCCAGCTGGCCTTCCCTGCCATCAGAAATCCTCTCTCTTTTGGGATTTCTCCCCATTTGGGGATGGACCAGTGCTTTCTTAGCAACACCAGTACAAGGAGGGGATGGCAGATTTGGCAGTGCTGGTAAACATCTATTTTTACAGTCTGACTTTTGAGGAGGCAGTAACAGAACACGGAGAAAGAAGCAAAAACACAGTCAAGATATTCTGGCAGCTGGGATCACAGAGAGAGGAGGGCAAGCTTGGATTTCACAGGAATTTGAGCGTAGCCTTCACAGTCAGTGCTGTGCTGGACTGTAAAACACACACCCCAGCGACGGCTGGGAGACATCATCGAGCTGACATTAAATACCTTGTCCTGAGACGGCCACGACTCCAGTGCTTCGCTGGCATAGAGCTCCACTTCACGGGTCCCACAGCGGCTGCATCCTGCCCCTGCAAACCATAACAAAGGGAAGAGGAGATAAAAAGGGATTTAGTGCTGTCAGGACCACTAACCCCCCAATTCCATCACAAGCAAAACCCACGGAGGACTGAACATGGATTAGTCCAAATATCCGCTCCATCTGCACACTTGCGTAGTTTTCCTCCACATGTTTATTCCTAAGCTAGAAAAACACAGCTTTTCGTCACTCCCAACGGTTTTCACCTTATAAATCCATCAGTTTTACCTTTCCCAACAGCACAGCCCTCCACAGATCTGCTCCTCCCACCCCCTCCCCAGTCACCACACACCTGTGACATCTCACACTCCTCCATCAGTGGTTTCTGGCCACTGCCAACAAACACCAGGAAAACACCGACTGACCTGTCTGCTCCTGCACCAAAGGACAGAGGGGGGCCTTGGGATTTCTGCTTTTTGGCTTTTTTTTTTTTCCTGAGGAGGAGGAGCATGGCAAGTCAAACCACTGGCAGGCATAGCTTTTTTTTTTTGCAGATCTTTATTTTACAAAAATAACTTACAAATAGAGACAACTCTCAGCAGTAAGATCATTCACTCTGTGCAGAAGGACACAGCCGGGTGAAGCAGGGGCACAGGAGTTAATGACTGACAATACTGTTAATTTTAACATGATGGCAGCTATATTACACTACATACATTTCATGCTCCAGACATGTGGGTATGACACCACATAAAGCTACGGTCGATAAAGTGTGTCAGCCAGGGAGGATGCACCTAAGAGACCATTTCCATTCTGGTTATCAGCATCCTCTTGAAACCAAACGGCAATCTAACACTCAGACTACAGCACTCTGGATACACTCATCAGCAATATACTTCAAATACATGATAAAAATATATTTAACTTTCAAATACAATTGTATAAGGTACACCAAGAGCCAGAAAATAAAGTCTCAAGCTTTTAAATACAACACACTATATATAAAAACACATACAAGGAGACAAGAGGGAATCTACACGTGGAAGGAAAAGCTCATCCTGGAAATATGTGTTATTTGTGGTACACAATGGCTTTGTCTGCTAGGAAGTCATTTCCATTTGCATAGCGTTGTTGAGAAGTCCAGACTGGGCTAGGAGGAGAAAAGGTTTTAATTTTGGTACCACTTCCACTTTGCAACTGATTCTACTCTTAAATTACACTTTGCTCTCTCTTTTGTAGGCTGGAATTCATGCCCCGTTCGTAACAAGCACATCGAAAGGAGGGAGTGAAGAAATAAACAACAAACCACAACACACAAGGAAACACCAGGTCAGAGAGTCAGGGAGGTTTCTTCACGGGGTTGCAGTCATTTGGCATTTTGCTCCAGAGCAGAGTACTCTGCTTCCGACACCCTGGAAGCGTCGATGAGTTTAGTGAGCCCTGTTTTGGCAGAGTACTTGAAAATGAAGGCTTTCATGAGCTCGTATCGGTAGTTGCGGTTGATGAAGCTGTACAGGATGGGGTTGACGCAGCAATGGACTAGAGAGAAACACTGGGTGATGTGGAGAGTGGCATACAGGAAGTTCTCCATGTGACAGCTGAAGGGGATGAAATGAAGGCTGTAGAAGATGTCGAGCAGGACGGCCACGTGGTAGGGCAGCCAGCAGACGAGAAACACCACCACGTAGGAGAAGATGATCTTCCCGTTGCTCTTCCGCTCCTGGTCACTGGAGGCAGAGATGGTCTTGGCAAGGAGGAAATAAAAGACAGCGATGATGGGGAAGGGGATAAGAAAGCCCAGCACGACAGAGATGAGCTCCATGCCAATCAGCCACTCTTTGAAGCTCTCCTCCGGATAGACGGGACGGCAGTAGGTTTCGTTGCTGGAAGAGACCGTCTTGAGGTAATAGGTGTCTGGGAGAGAGGCGGAGAAGGCCAGGAGCCACACCAGGATGCAGATGCAGCGACGGATTATCTTCTTCTTGCGATTGCTGGAGTTGGTGAAATAGGCCACAGACAGGTAGCGGTCCACACTCATGCAAGCCAGGAAGAAGATGCTGCTGTACAAGTTGATGGAAAATATAAGGTGAGTTATCTTGCACGTGATTTCCCCCATGTGCCACTGGTTATGCTGGACGAGGGAGACGACCCACACGGGGAGGGTGATGACGACGCACAGGTCGGCGATGGCCAAATTGAAGATGTAGAGGTGGGTTTCATAGCCAGTCATTTTGGCTTGGAGGTTGACCCACACCACAACCGAGTTGGCCACCAGCCCTATGACAAAGATGAAGATGTAGAAGAAGGACAGGGTGTAGAGCAGGGCACTTTTGTTGAGCGTGCCAGGGCATGTTGTCGCATCCACCGTGATGCAGTCGCCGTTGCTGCACGTCCAGTTGATCTCCGTCAGGTTGGCTGTTTCCAGGAAATCAAGGATGGACGTCAAATCAAGCGCGCTCATGTTCGCTCAGTTTGGGGTTCGAGTGACCTACGGGCCAGACAGGATTGAAAGAAGTCACATAAGTTAACAGGTATTTCTGCCGCCACTTCGTACCACAAAGCACGCGCAGGACTCACCATTTCAGCAACATCCTACTCTTGTCCACTAAAGAGCTCCGTGGAGCAACACAACCGAGACACTTCACAAAACTCATCCGGGTTGACCAAAGAGGAACAGCGCTATTTTTTTTGTGTGTCTTTTTCTTTCTTTTTTTCCTTTTCTTGCAGCTCACATCTGACATCATCAGGCTGGCTATCATCCCCGGGTGTGAAATCGGCAAAGTACACCGTGGCCAAATAAATGTCAGGCGACTAAATCTGTCTTCTGCAGCATAAATGATGATACTATCGCCTTCAGCAGGGGAATCTTTAAGCCATTTTATCTGCACTCCCTCAAGCACAGTAGAATTGATCTGGCTGATACACGGTACCGTAAAACATTTACCACAGGCTCTGGGCAGCATCTTGTCAAGCCCAGCTCCAGCTGCATTAGGACGAAATGGCAAACTAAGGGGCTTTGTATCTCTATCCAATTTTAAATTTAAATTCTGCTCCATCCTCCCCCCTTCTCTTGAGTTCTATTTTACAAAGTATCCCCTGCATTTAATGATTATTACATAGCTTTGAGAAAAGAAAAAGAAGTCAGAGCTTGACTGCTGAGTAGATCTGCTGGGTTTAAGTTTTCTTTTTAGAAGAGTGCTTTGATTTAAAAACACTCCCCCATCACAGTTGGCTCCACAACTGCCTCTTCCCCACCCTTTTGCTTTTCTACATCTACTTTCCTTGCCTTTTTTGCGCTTTCTTCTACCTGCAGTGGAAAGCAAGGGGTTCCTTGTTAACTTCCTCACCAGCAGAAGGAAGGGACCCAGCAGACTCTCCTGGCTTAGGCAAAATGTAAAGCAGGGCTGCTAATTGCTGCTGTGCTTTTGGGGGCAGCTTAAAAAATGCTGTCCCTGCCACTGGGACCCTCCCATCTCACAGGGCCCACAGTACCACCAGCAACATTTGGCTCATGACCACCATGCTCCAGTCAAGCGAGCTTTGGAGTGCCCTGTCTGCAGGCTCTGGCTTGGGACACCTAAGTAAAGATGGAGAGATTGGTTTACAAGGAATGGATCCCATCTTGATCCCTCATGGCTTCACTTGAGGTGGAGCATCAGGTCAGCCAGGGCACCCACAGGCTCCACCACGGACGCTTCCAGCATCCCCAACAATGGTCACCTTGCTCTTCCCGTGCCTGCAGCCCCAGCAAGGTGAGGCACCCACTGATGCTGCCCCAGCATGACCGAGGGGCCAGAGAACAACAGGGATCTCTGAACATCCTTGATCCCACCACAGCACCTCCTGGTGGGGCTTATGGGAGCATGGAGGGGAGAGCAAGCAGGGAAGAGTTCGGACAGGCTCCCTCTTCTTGTCCCCTCTCCCAGAAAAGGGATGTTGGTTGACACAGCACCTCTGGCTCCTCCATCTGCATAATTGGCTCTTCCCAAAGGTCCCACCCTCCCTGCCTGCCAGGGATACAGGCTAGGAAGAGAAGGGAGATAAGGGGGGAGATTACGGATAGGACTGGAGGCACTATTGTCCCAGCAGAGGGGAAGCTGGTGGCACTAACAATGAGGGGGGCCATGCACACATTCAGGGGAGATCAAATCTCTCCACAAACAGGCCCAAATCGCCCCATGAGGAGACCTATCCTATGGCTTTCATCCTGCTGGCCTGATGAAAGACAGAGCTGAGATTCAAACCAAATTAAGCACGGATTTTGCTAAAACACTGGCTAAAGAGGGAGCTGCAACAGTGGCAGCTCTCTGTGCTGGGCAGACAATCCTCCAGCTCCACCTCAGGAAAGCAGAGAGCCATTTAACCCATGCCTATGCAGGGCAGAAGAGCTGATGCTCCCCCCCAAGAGACAGGCCACCCTCGAGCTGCCTGTACCAATCCTTTTGGTGCAGGCAGCTGGGATGTGCACTGCCCAGGCACAGCTCCCCTGGATACTTGCTTCATCCCAGGGCTGCCAGTGGGAAAGAGGGATGGGTCTCCTGCCAGACCTCACCCAGGGTCCCACTGCTACCACTGTGTCCCCAGCACAAATCCTTTCAAGCCTCTCATGCACAGCAAGAAGCAGCACCATCCCCAAGTCCCTGTATCTCAAAACCCTGCAGCAACTCAAGGTAACTGCCTAAAAGCCAGAAAACTCCAAGATCCATGGCACAGATCACCAGTTCCTGCTGGTATTTGGGAGCAGCAAAGCAAGCAGAGCAGCAGGAACACTGAGCTACCCCCTTAGCACCCCACAGAAGTAGCACAGATGGGCCTGAACTTATTCTGGGAAGGTACACGGTCCAACAAGGGGATCAGGCTCATTCCACATCTCAGGACCACAGCTCAAACCAACCTCCAGGACAGGGCTGCGACCCTCCACTGCCAAGCCTCCAGCACATCCCTCGTGGAGAAAAAACTCAGACTTGGTTGTGGGGTGTCAGATTCTGACAGAGAGACACCAACAGGGCAGCAGAAAGCCCCTGAAGCCAGGGCTTACATCACGCTGGGGACACCACGGCCACCAGCGAAGGAGAGGGAGCACCACCAGCCCAGCTGCTCACTCAGAGCCACACTGGGGATCCCACCAAACACAAACGATGCTCAGCCCAAACCCCAGCCTGTCCTGTCCAAGAGCAGGGCTGCTGCACGCACGTGCATCCATCTGTCTGCGCATCCATCTGTCTGGGGCCGCCCGTGCTTCGCATCCCCAGTGCGGCCATAAAAACCCGACACCGCCCGGCCTCCCAGGCTCCCAGCCCTGCTGGGCAGGACGGCTCTACCCTGAGATTACAGCCCCACCGGCAGGGCTGTACTCTGGGATTAGCTGCTGTAACCCGAGCTCTGACTCCCACCCAGATTAGCTGGGAGGTGTAGGGGGGAACCCACTCGACAAACTCAATAAAGCCACTCTGTGCTCCTAAAAAAATACCTTCAGCGCTCTCTACAGACAACACAGTATCCAAAAAGCTGCATTTTCTGTCCACAGCACTGCAAAGCTCTTGCAGGCCATCAACCCTTCACCCGTCAGGCATGAGTGCTCTGTCCAGCCACTGGAGCTGGCAGGAGTTATGACGTGAAGGAAAGGAGATACACATGAAATCCTGCTCCAGACACCCAGAGCTGTCCTGGGACAGCACCCTCCTCATCCCACCTCCCGCACAGGACTTGCTGCAGGTTGGGAAAAAGAAACAGGCACGAGCATCCCTGCCCAGGAGGGTAGCCCAGCACTGAGTGGCAGTGTCCAAGCCCTCAACAATTTAAGGAACTTCTCAGCACCCCATCTGCCACCCAGAGTACCCCACAGCACAGTCCTGCCCGCACTCAGACCTGCCTCCCAGCTGCTCAGGGGTGTGGGTAAACTCGGCTTTGCCCTTTCTGAGCGGAGAAGGAGCTATGCCAGGAACAGTCAGGATGGCTGGGTGGGTTGCCACCCACACACCTTCACCATTCCCACGTCAAAGGACCAGCCTGGCTCTCCAGCATGGGCAGCACAGCCCCTTCTCCAGGCTGCGTGGCCTCCACAAAACGACACCCAATGCCCTCCAGGGGCTATGCAAGACTGAGCCCAGCACATTTAAAACTCTTCTGCACTTCTGAGTTGGAAAAACAAACACTACCGGGGTGGGGGGGGGAAGCAGCGTCCGATGGAGCTGCGGGTCACACCTGGGCACCCGGGGGCACCCAGCGGGGAGCGGGGCTCCTGCCGGTCCCGGGGAACCCGGCTGGGGGGCGAGAAGAGGAGGCTCCCGCCACGCAGCGCGACCCGGGGGATGCGGGACACAGCCGGGGGGATGCGGGGGCTCGGACCGGGGGAGCGCGGCTGCGGCGGCCACGGGCCGGGCTGGGGAGCGGGACACCCGCGGGGCGATCCCTCCCCACACACCTCCCGCATCCCGCGCGGGGCTCGGCAGGGCCGCCCCTCTTACCTCCCGTGCCGGAGGAGCGCTGCCGGAGCGACTGAACGCGGGCCCCGCGCCGCCGCTTTATGGCCGCACCCAGGGGCCCGCCCCCGGGGGCGGCTCCGCCGGCACCGACCGGCCCCGGCCCCGGCGCGGAACACACCCGGCACGGACCGGCCCGGCCCCGGCTCGGAACGGCCCCGGCTCGGAGCACACCCGGCACGGCACGGCCCCGGCGCGGAACACACCCGGCACGGCCCGACCCGGCCCCGACTCGGAACACACCCGGCACGGCCCGACCCGGCCCCGGCTCGGAACACACCCGGCACGGACCGGCCCCGGTCCCGGCTCGGAACACACCCGGAACCAGTTCGGAACACAGCCGGCACGGCCCGACCCGGCCCCGGTTCGGAACACACCCGGAACCGTTCGGAACACACCCGGTCCCGGCTCGGAACACACCCGGCCGCGGTTCGGAACACAGCCGGAACCGGTCCGGAACACAGCCGGAACCGGTTCGGAACACAGCCGGAACCGGTTCGGAACACAGCCGGAACCGGTCCGGAACACAGCCGGAACCGGTCCGGAACACAGCCGGAACCGGCAGGGTCCCGCGCCGAGCGTGAGGGGGCTCCGGAACGGGAGCGAGGGGTGACACGGGACTGAGGGGGAGAGAAGAGGGGGAAAGAGAGAGAGGGAAGGAGAGAGGGAACCGAGGAAAAAAAGAGAGACAGAAGCCACGAAAAGAAAAGGAAAGAAAAGGAAAGAGAAAGAGAGAGAAAGGAATGGCAAAATACTGAGGAAAAAGGGGGGAAGAGGAAAAGATGATGGAAGAGAGGACCGGAAAAAGGAGAAAAGGAAGAAGGGCAGAAAAGGAAGGAGGGCAGAAAAGAAAAAAGGGCAGAAATGAAAAAAGGGCAGAAATGAAAAAAGGGCAGAAATGAAAAAAGGGGAGGGAAGGAAAAAAACCCCAGAATTAAAAAGGGGGAAGGGGGAAGATGACTGAAGAGAGAAGAGGGGAAAAGAAGGAGAAAAAGAAAATAGAGGGGAAAAAAGCAAAAAAGCTGAGAAAAAGAGAAGGACAGAGTGGAGAGAAAATAAATAAGAGAAGGAAAAAAAAAAAGAAAAGAAAAGCAGGTTTCTGGTCTGATTTGTTTTCCCCTTGCCACTGTAAATACTGAGCAGACGAGGCAAGGGGAGGCAGCAGATCCTCACCTCTGCTCCCTCCCCAAAGGCAAGAAAAACTAATGCCAAGGAAAAGTGACAAGAGGCCAGAGTCACTAACTAAAACTGAAAATCCAGAGTCACTAAAACTGAAAATCCCTTCCTTCACACTGCTGCTGAGCACAGGGAAGGCAGGGGGGTAACACAGCCCATGGGAGGGAAGGGGGTTGGTCTGTCTGTCCTTCATCCCAGAGAAGATGCTGGGATTAGAGGACTATCAACCTGCCGACCTGCTGATCCCTGGATCTGCACGTACCACCAGGCTGCTCTGAAAACACCGGGTGACCTGGAGCAGGGTCACCCTGCCCAAACACTGCCGCTGGAGCCCACACCAGCATGTAGAGTTCCCAGAGCCTAAGTCACCTTGGCACTGCTGAGCCACTGCCCAGCCAGGGGATACAGCTTAGCTAACACGTTTCAACCACTGCTTTTTGGAAGATATAGGGCTAAATTTTAGCCCTTGCAACCTGGGGGCTTCAACACCCCTAGAAAGCATGTATTTTGTTTCCCCAAAAATGCTTAATCCTATTTCCTAGGCAACAAACAGGACAAGAGGAAAGGCTTCAAACTGAAAGAGAATAGGTTTAAATTAGATATTAGAAAATAATCCTTCCCTGTCAGGGTGGGGAGGCCCTGGCACAGGTCGCCCAGAGAAGCTGTGGCTGCCCCATCCCTGGAAGTGTCCAAGGCCAGGTTGGACGGGGCTTGGAGCAACCTGGGCTAGTGGAAGGTGTCCCTGCCATGGCAGGAGGTGAAACCAGATGATCTTTGAGGTCCCTTCCAACCATCCTATGATTATATGATTAAACCTGCTGAAAAATGCATGCTTAAAAAGAGAACATGTTTTCCCACAAAAATGTCCAGCACAAGCTATCAAGCTTAAAGCAAGTCAGGAATGCAGCAAAACAAGACATTTTACTCTGTGGTGGAAGAGACCTTTGTAAAAAGAGTGAGGGACCAGGTTAAAAGGACTCCCAGCTGCAAGCAGAGCAGTCTTAATTCTGGAAAAAAAAGACATTGATATTTTAAATGTACTGTGTTTCTCAGCTCACAATTCCTTAATTCTGCCCCCATCAAGGAACGGAAACAAATGCATCACACTTACACTTGCAGAAGTGACAGCACAACCAGCTTCAGCTTTTCTGCCAGGAGAGAGAAGATTAAGCTGTAGATACTGAACTCCTGCAGCTCCAAGCATGCCTGGTGCTCCTCCCAGCTCAGTCCCATGCAGGACCATCCCATCCTCTGGCTCACACACTGCTGGGGGTTTGGGTGCCAGGGAATGAGGAGAACAGAGGGACGAGTCTCCCACCATTTCACAGTGGAGAGAGTGTGATGTAAGGTACCTCATCTCCCTTCCTGACCCCCATTCTCCAAACTTCACAGCTGTCAGTGAGCAAAGCGTTTCAGCATCTGCTCAAATTCCGAGTGCTCACCCAAGTCCATGGATTTGGTGGGATTGAAGCACGATGAGTTCAGACAACGGCAGGATTAGGTTTAAAAATAAGCATGTACTGAAGCACTTGGCTAAATCAGGCTCTGAAAATCCTAGGGAAAAAAAATAAATAAAGGCACTCCAGCAGAACTCCAGTCACTCAGCCAAAAAAGCAAGTGGAGTGGTTTTTCCTTAGCTGGTGTGCCAGAAAATAACACCAAGTAGTCCAATGTCTTCCACAGCTCTCTAAAAATACCAGCCAGCACCTGCAGCCACAAAGTTGCTGGGTGTCCAGCAGTCACTGACAACCTTCCTTCACCTGCATTTTGCCAAGGGCAGAGCCCTCGCTGTCCTCTCTGGGTTCCTCCCTTCAGCAATCTTTTCATGGGGAGCATGTTCCTCACACAGGCAGCCAGGGCCTGTTCCCTTTCCATTATGACAGGTGGATTTTGCTCGGTGTTCAGGCATGACAAACCTGCACGATACAAAACCACCTCCCCAGAACAGAGCAAGCAGAGCTGGGCACCTCAGGTAAGATCAGCAGAGGGTCTTGCCATGATTAATTGGGATCTGCTGCCAATGCAAGCAGGTGTCCCCAAAGATGTCATTGCAGATAGTCCTGTAGCCAACAACTCTTGTAGATGCAGCTGTCCAGGTGATCCATCACTCACTGGAATAGGAGAGCTGGGGGTGTTCAGCCTGGAGAACAGAAGGCTCCAGGGAGACCTGAGAGTCCCTTCCAGTGCCTAAAGGGCCGGGAGTGGTAGGACAAGGAGGAATGGCTTCAAAATGCCAGAGGGCAGGGTTAGATGGGATGTTGGGAAGGAATCATTCCCTATGAGGGTGGGGAGGTCCTGGTACAGGTTGCCCAGAGAAGCTGTGGCTGCCCCATCCCTGGAAGTGTCCAAGGCCAGGTTGGACAGGGCTTGGAGCAACCTGGGCTAGTGGAAGGTGTCCCTGCCCATGGCAGGGCATGGAACAAGATGGGCTTTAAGGGTTCTTCCAATCCAACCCTTTTTATGATTCAGGAAATGGGGAAAGCAAAGTTCTACAGCTTTCACCTGCTACACAGGAGTCTGTGGCAACATGATGGGGAGGGACCGGTCACCTTCACAGGGCAGCAGGGAACCTAATTATGCTCACAAACCTCATTAGGTTTGTCTTGGGGTCCTTCCACGACAAGCTTCTGCCTTCCCCAGACCATGGGGGGCCCTGCATGAGGTCAAGGCTCCACTGTGCTCAGCACTGCAGATAAACACACCTAAGAGCGAGCTCTGACTCTCAGAGATAGGTACGGCAGGGGAGGAGGCACCGAGTGCTGGGCAAAGCCAGATCATTATTTAATGCTTTGTTTTACATTCATATTTTGTTTAACGGCCTGAACTACAGCAATATATTCTTTTCTTCTCAAAAAGCACAAATTTTTACTAATGGGGGGGAGAGAAAAAAAAAAAATCAGTAATTTCTCACAATCCCCACAGCTTCTCCCTGTTGACATTGGGAATGCAGGCTGAAAGCATCCTCATTTTCTCTTAAGGCTTCCCTTTCCAGCTGGGAGGCAGATGGAAGTTGACACCCAGCCCTGCCTACTCAAGTCAACAGAGAATTTAAAAAATAAAAAAATGCAAGTTGGCAGCTTCAAGTGCTAGAAAGACGTGGTTTTGGGGGGTGAGAGAGAAAGCCAATAAGGCAAAGTGCCATATGTGTTGGGCGGGGGAGCTTTTCGATCCAGACGGGACAAAGGGAAAGGTTTCCCTGTTGCACAGGAGAGGGTTTGCGTGCGGCAGGAGCAGCACTGTGCTCACGCAGAGAACGCTCCAGCCAGGAGTGCAAACACCCACATCGCCTGACAGAGCCAGGGAGAGCCCTGGAGGAAATCAGGCTGTGATCCATGAAGTGTACAAAGGTAAAAAAGGGCTTCCTGCAGCCCTTGGAGCCGGAGCCAGAGGGCTGCTGCATGAAAACACAGCACTGCTTCCTCCCTCTTTCGAGACATCTCGTTCCCTGTCCTCTCCCAGTCACGTTCCTCACCACATCAGTTGGATGATGGATAGAGGAACAAGCCACCACGCTAACAAAAGGAATAAATAGATGACTGCATCAGGAGTCACCTCTGAAATCACAGCAGAGGGGAAACGAGCAGCAAGTTTCCAGCAGGCAGTGACTGCGGTACTGCCCAGCTCCACTTCCCCTGCCAACAGAGAACAATCGAGTCATTGAGTGCCAAACCATGCCTAGAGCAGTGTCAGCAGCCATCAGGAAAGCCACAGGGCTGGTGTCCTGTCCAGCTCCGGCCCATCCGGCTTGGAAGAGATGCACGATGAGGAAACCAAGGGAAGAGAGCAGGGAGAAGCAGCCTCCCCATCACTACACTTGAAGCAGCACAGGGAAGGGACCTGTGCTCGTAGGCTGCTTCACCAGTGTCCTCCTCTGAGAAAGGATGGAGCAAGCCAGAGGTTCCCCAAACTGAAGGAAGGGGGTGGGAAAGCCAGTGCTAGGGAAACTTAAAAGTGGAGTAAAAAGGAAGAGAAGTGCAGGGAGAGGCTGCCAGGGCAACCACGACCCATCCTAGGGCAAGGCTCCTGCTTCCCCTAGCCCAGCCTAAATCACTAACCAAACAATCAAAGAGAAATCACAGTACAGGACTCCCCCTCCTCCTCCATACCACCCACCTGTTAGTTTAAGGGTTCATGAGATATGATATTTTTACTGCAGAAACCCCTCAGGGGGCAGGTTTCCATCTACACTGCAGCTCCAAAGCTGCATTTTCACCTTCTCCACCACCACAATAAGGACCAAAGTGAAGGGGAAGATTTTAGGGCTCCAGCATCTGTGGTTTGAGGCAGCACACGCTGACAGCCCTGAGAAAAGCTGCCGGGAGAGATCCCTGTGTTCCAGCACTGCCCAACCCCGGGGCCGTCAGCACTCGCCCCTGACAAGTGACGGTGAACAGCCCTGATTCAGGGAGACAACACAAAGCACCCGGAGCTTCACGTGGCCTCTGACAGCTGGGCCACCCAGGATTTTAACCATTCTCTGGCTTTTTCCACCCAAAGACAGAATCACAGAATTACTGAGGTTGGAAAAGACCTCCAAGAGCATCGAGTCCAACCTGTGCCCGATCCCCACCTTGTCACCCAGCCCAGAGCTCTGAGTGCCACGTCCAGTCATTCCTTGGACATCTCCAGGGATGGAGGGGGGACACAACAGGAGAAGAGTTTAAGATCTTGTTCACCTGCATGGTAGGGCATTTTCTGTCAATCCCAGTAAGCTTTCCCAAAGCCAAGCAACCCAGCAGGATCCCTGAGGAGAGGGTGGCAGAGCATTCAGTTTACTATTTTCAGTGTGATGAGAGCTTTTAGAGAAATCAATTGTGGTGCAATTAGGAATATTACCTCTGTTTTAATAACTACTGGAGATGGCTGTCTCTCCTTCACAGTTCATTTCCCTCTTACCCTTTCCACTAAATAAAGGTGTTACCTATGGATGTTATTTGCTGCTTCATAATTGGCATTACTGCCATTTATTAGAGGGCGTGCTGGAGTGTGACCATGAGGAGGATGACACCAAGCCCTGAGCCAAAATCCTGCCTGGAGCAGCCAAGCAGCCAGCAGAGAACACTTTTCAGAGGCACTGATTTTTACATAAACACTATCCATAAACTTCTCCTCTCTGCACAGCACAGTCTCAAATTAGCAGGGTGACATTAACGTGGCAAGGGCAGGTTTTGACAGAAGCCATGCAGGAAAACCTGCATCGGCGACAAGTGGCACGCCAGGGACAGAGAGGAAAGAAAGGAGTTGGAATTAGGGTGATGGGATCCCCCCCCACATTCCCTTGCTTCCATGGGAAAGAGTCCTGCTAGGTGTAAAACGACTGAATATTACAGGCCAGTAAGAAATAAAAAATTCATTAAATCATAAATCTTTTGGAAAGGGGATCTACTGGGGAGATTATATTCACTTTTCATGGACATATTAATTCAACGGTGGCATATCGTATTGTTCTCTGTGGGGGAAAAAGGCATATTGTTTTAAAGTATGATGTTTAGAGCAGTCCTTTAGGAAGGAAAATAAATATAATCTTGGCAAGGAAAACCAACTGCATGAGCACCGAGGAAGGGACGTTAAACACAGGGCCCAAGTTCCAGCTGCTGACAGTCAGCATAGCTGGACTGGAGCTCCTGGAGCTGAGCCCGAGCATGGGAGCCGAGAAGGACAGTCAGCCCTATTTAGCAGCAACTCCTTGAATATGTTAAGTAAATAAAGTCAAAATGTGGGACTGGTCTCATGGTCCCCTTCCACACATATTGGTCCCACTCCATCTTTGGCTTCCCCCCTCTCTCCTGACCCCACAAATGTTGTGTTCCTTTGAAACAGGCACACACCTCCTCCCCTTGTCCCTCCGTACCTGTAACAGGGTGGTCAGCACAGCCCCACGGGGGACGTAGGTTTGAACTCCTCTAGCTTGGCTGCAGGCATGGAGGGCACTGGGATGAGACTCCTGCCCACCATGCACACCCTCCAGACACTCACCCTAAGCACAGATCCCTGAGGAGCCCTGCTGTCTCCTGGAGCGCATCTTCCCTCAGGAGGAACGTGTGGATCGTGACACAACAGCTACGGGAAGGGGTTCAGCAAACACACAACTTACTGTACAGTAACTGCTCATGCCCTTGTCCTTCCCCTGTGGTAACTCACAATCCAAAGTATTTTATTCCAGAGGAACACAGGGAAAAATCAGTTTAAGGTTTCTGCACAAGATAACAACGCTGAGCAGCTCCTGGGCCCTAAAACAATACGTGCCCCTTTGACCACATCACCCTCTCAGCCAGCTCAGGCACAGATAAGTCACTTGACCCATCAGAAAAGATGGGATTTGCTTATCACACCAACTGCATTGGCCCCGTGCAAACTCCTGTGGACTCCCCGCTTCCCTCCTTCCCTCTGCCCAGCTCTGTCGCTGACAGCTTCCCCCTCCAGCCCAATGAGGTGTGAAATTTGGGGCATCACAGAACTGCACACGGGGCTGTTCCCAGGGAATTAAATGTCTAGATAAAATGAAAAAGGGCCGATGAAACATTAACCACGAACAGCCCAAACAACAAAGTCAG